AGAGGATTAGTGTTCATGGCTTTTATGCACTATAGAAGAAGACTTTGTAAACACCCTCAGAGGAACATCCCTCTGGGACAAAGTTTGCTTCCCACAAAGGACATCCCCAATGAGCAGAGCATCCCGCCACGCACGGCACTGCACGAGGGATATTTCCTTACAGAGCCGCTGCCTGAGCCCTCCCTGCTGCTGCAGAGCAACATCCACGCTGCAGCCAGTGCCCCACAGCCAGCAAACCCAGCATCCTGCTCCTCACCACACCCACAGACCAAGGGAGAAGCCCTGTGCTCAGACCTGCACCAAGACACCCAGCCAGGAGCCGTGTGGTGAGTCCTTCAAGGAGCTCTGCATGTGTTCTGAAGCATTTCCACAACATTCACAGGAAAAACAGCTCCCACAAGGTGAGCATCCAAAATACCACACAGTCACAACTGATCTCAGGGGTGTGAAGCCACCATGCAAACAGCAACCTCACTTTGCAGGCAAACCTACAGGTACAGAGTTGGCTGCATTTGAGGGTTTACAATGGATGCCAGGAGCTGGCTGGCAGTGAGTAACAAGAAATCATTAAAGGTTGACAGAGAAAAAACTTGCCAGGGGAAACCTGCACAGGCAACATGGGTACAGAACCTGCCCTGAGCTACAACACAGCCATACTGAGGAGGTGTCATGCCAATCTCTACACAGAGCATTTCCAATGGGAGTCTCCTAAAAGGTTCACCACGAGATTTAAAATTTCCTGTCCAGTTAAAAATCAAATCTCAACACTTAAACTCCAAATATCCTGCAGCATTTATGGTTCTGGCATAGGCTGCAATGGGCAAAGAGAAGGGCTGCATAAACAGCACAGGGCTGGTCAGTCAGTCAAGATAAGAACAAACATTATGGATGATAACTGAACAGTTCTCACCACTGGAAATGAAAAAACCACATCAATTTAATTAGTAGGTTAAACTGTTTGCCTTCATCCCATTTGTACTTGTGACTCACCTAAAGTCATGAGACCTTGTTGGTTTTACTAATTCCTCAGTAAGTCCTGAGTCCCCTGGACTCCCCACACTGGGCACCCGCACCTGCCTGCACCTTCCTGAAGCCTGATCCTCCACAGTTAAGCCCTACACGTCCAACACCTGACACCAGGTTACAAAAGAGCTTTCTGCATGGCAGGTTTTGGGAAGTGAAACCACGTTGAAATCTAAAATCAGCAAAGAGAGAATATCAGACTTTGGCCAAGACACCCACCACCATGAGGCACAGCACGTGGCCCACCTCCGAGCGGGCGTGATGCTGGACACCTGCTGCCTGGGTGAGTGGCTGTGCTATTTGAGGCTGCCCTTCTCTTCCCACTCCAGCAGACTATTTCAAACCCATTTATAATTGGAAAGAGGGAGCGTCTGTTTTTGCAGACCATGAGGTCAAAACTGTACTAATAACCACAGCACAGCAGAACACCATTAGCAGGTAAACAAGTCCTGAGCTGGTCTCGGAAAAGCAGCTCTAGAGATGGTTTGTTCTGGTTTTTTTTCTTTCAATTAATTGTTTTGTCCTCCCAACACAGAGTGGGAAGACAAGCAGACTCTGCAATGCCTTACATTTTAATATCATATTATTCCCCACTAGAGGCAACGAGGACACCTTGCCAGACTTCCCCAGAACTCAACGACATCAGCAATTCAGGAGCACGGGGAGCTGTCTCCAGTCACTCACAGGGCATGACTGATGTTACGGGACTGGCAAACACAAAGCCTATCTTTGAAAAATACAGGTATGGGAATAAGGAGGCAGGAATTTATAGAATAATCAGCTTAACTTCAGTTGAAATGCTTAGAAGACAAGGAGAACTTCAGCAAGAGATACCCTTTGTTCATCAAGAACAAATCACATCAAATCTGTCATATTTCTTTCTGTGACAGGGTGTCAGGACTTGCAGGAAGGGGAGAAGAAACAAAGATTTAAGAGACCTCTGAAATGTCTGATGGGACATGCCCATAACACAGCCAGGGATGCAGGGACTGGCCTGAGCTGCCCAAAGGTGGGACCACCACTGCTGGGAAGACCAGCTGTGAATGGGGCACTGCTCTTTGAGCAGATTGGGGGCTCTACTGAAGCATTTTCCAGTGGAACCCATCCCAGATCCAACACCAATTGGTGTTTGCATCCACAACTTGGCTGATGGCAGAGAAAACAGGCTAACTGCCCTGGAAGGCTACACCAAGATGAGAGGGACTGCAGGAATGCAGAAGGACAAGATCAGAATTAAAAACAGTCCTGATAATTTAGAAGATGCAGTCTGGAAAAAAAAAGACTCAGTTCAAGAAGGACAAGCGTGAGGTAATGCAATTTGGTAAGAATAATTAACCAGGCAAACACAAGATAAGGAATGAAAAGCAGGACAACATCTGGAGAGGAATAGTTGAAGGGTTGATGGGATGAAAAAATAAACATGAGTCACCTATGGCAAAAGTGAAAAGCACACACAGTGGGATGTATAAACAGGATCATTGTTTGTAAAAGGTATGAAGTAACACTTAGTCTTCTGAGCAAAAATACAGCAGCAACTTCAGCCCTTTATCCCAAGTTAAGCAATACCCCTCACCAAGGATGATGGTCCAGAAGAGAATAACAAGAGCAACTGCAGAGCAAGAATACATGACCTAAAAAAGAGTGATCAAAGGAACCAGTGTGGTTTAATCTGTATTAGTAAGGGAAATGGTAGCAACTTCCAAATATCTACTGGCCTGCTGCAAAGAAGGATAGAAGGAACTTTTCTGCCTGTTCCCAACAGATGGAAAAAAAGAAGAGCAATCCTGAAACTAAACTGAAGAAAAAGACATTTCTGTACAAATCATAAGAAAAACCTAATATGAGGGCTGCTAAATGTCAAACAGATTGTCTGGGGAGCTTAGGAGTCCCTGTCAGTGAAGGTTTTTAAGAACAAACACGACAAACATCTGTCAGGAAGGGGTTGGTTATCAGCGATGCTGTGGAGTGCAGGAGATGGACTCAACGACCTCTCAAGGTCTTCTCCAGCTCTGTACTGAAGAAGGGCCTGATAGGTAAATGTCCACAATAGCTGGAAAGCTGCTGTGCTGACACAGCCCCCCGTAATGGCCCGAGCTGCTGTGGCCACTGCAGCTGAGCATCTGTTGCTGCCAGAGGAACACGCACATCCCGGACAGGGACAGGGGTACCCGGGGGGCCGCTCTGCCACTTGAACGAGCCACAGGGAAAAGCTGCTTGTTAAAAAATAAAAGTGTGTCAAAGGACAACACAGCCCAGACAGCACAGAGCGCCTGGTGGGGTTGGCCACCCTGCTTCTGGAAGCAGGAGGGGCTGCTCAGAGCCCACACAGCACTGCACGCTGCTTTTGCTTTATTTATGAGAGGAAGCTGCAAGCAAAGCCTCTGCTCAGTGGTAACCACAGGGCAGTTCTCAGAGCATTCCTCTGCCCCTGCACAACTACTGTGGTCTAGTACACCTGCCTGAAAACAGCACACAAGAGCAACACCTGGCTATGCAAACATTTTGGCCAGGGATAAATAAACGTCTTGGCCAGTGGTGATAAAAATATCACCAGCAGAAGCAAAGCAATCCACTGGTACAGAAGCAGCACCCCAGCATTGCAAACGCCCACCACACAAACCTCTGCAGGAGGCAGCTCCAGTGGGATTTAAATCACCTTAGCAGCACAACAGGAAAGCCTTCAGTGATGAATGAGGCAGAGGAAGCCAAGCAGCCACCTGTCAGACACCTGCAGCTGCCAGGACAAAATCCCAGGCACTCCGAGCCTGCTGCCAGGGAACGGGCTGGGTGGGTTCATGTCATCCTGCTCATCAGAGCCAAAAAACCTTCCCCAAGAGCTGCCCCAGCCCTGATGCCAGCCTTGCACTATGTGCAAACTGCACCTTGTGATGGTGCATGGTGTGCTACAGGACTGCAAATCCACCAAGTCACAGCTTCTGCTCAGCTGTGGCAGGGAGAGATGCTTCCATAGCAATGGGAGGAGAGAGTCAAGGCCTGCCTGGTCAGACCACACACCTTTAATGACCTCTAAAAGTTCAGGAACTGGAAGAGCTGAGCAACTACCACAGGTGTAGGAGGTTACACACTCATACACAGTACAGAGACACAATTCAGAAGCGACTGTCAGAATTGTCCTCCAGGCTAGACTAAGTCCAGTGCACTGTCTGAGTGAGAGACTGGGTGGAGAAAAGCAACAATTGTGTTGTCAGGAAAAACCAGCAGCAAGCATCTCTGTAACACCTGCACAGGATTCCCCCTCAGCCTCGGCGGGACAGGGCCCTGCACCTCTGCTCTGCAGCTGCCTCCTCAGTGCAAAGCCAGCACCAATACTCGTGTGCTGAAGCCACAGCTGTCACACCTGTCCCACATCCACTGAAGTTACCAGACTCAGCATCGAGCCACAAGAGATGCATGCAGAGATGCCCAAATCTCCCCTTACCAGTTTGCCCAAAGAACCCCCAGCATCTGAGAGCTCCCCGCAGTTGCTGGCACTACCACGCAGATTTAACTCACCTGGCTCCCATCGCCCATGAAGGTTTTGGCCATAAACACGGGGGTGCAAAGAAGCACATCACCAAAGCAAAGCCAAGCGCTTGGCTTGGACAACAGCCCGCCCATCACCCCAGAGCCCCGCGACCGTCCGTGGGCAGCCCTGGACGAGCAGAGACCCCCGGCTGGGGCACCTCCCGCCCAGCTGGGCACGGCAGTCGCTCCAGGGGTTCCACAGGTCACGGTCCCGTGGGGACCAGGGGGTACCGCGGGGCCAGGGGCGCACAGGATCCCGCCGAGTCCGCACCCGCGGGGCTCCAGCAGGATCCTGCCCTTAGGGATCCCCCAGCTCCCGCAGGATGCTCACCGGGGCTGGATCCCAACGCACCCCCGGGTCCAGCCGGGGCCGACTCGCGGAGTCCCCGCGCCCCCTCCCCGGCGGCGGGGCGGCGGCCGGGTCCCCGCGGAGGCGGCCGAGCCCCCCTTACCTTTGTGCCCGCCGAAGGCGCCGTACCAGGAGAGCGAGAGCAGCGCGCACAGGCAGCCGAGCAGCAGCGTGAGCGCCGTGCCGCTGCGGAGCCTCATCGCCTCCTCGCCGGCGGGGGCGGCCGCATGTCCCGGGCGCGGCGCGGCCTCGGCGGCCCCGGCGGAGCGGAGCGGGAGCGGAGCCGAGAGCGGGAGCGGAGCGGGGCGCACCGCCCGCACCGCCCGCACGCAGCGCCCGCGCCGGGCCCGCCGGGCGGGCGGGGCGGGGCCGGGCGGGGCCGAGGGCGGGGCCGAAGGGCGGGGCGGCAGCGAGCGAAGGGCGCCCTCGTGCGGGGGAATGCGGGACTGCAGAGGGGAGGGGTGAGAGTGGGAGAAGGAGGGAGTGTGACTGAGTGTGTCTGAGTGCAGGTGAGTGTGCCCGGGTGTGCATGAGTGTGCCCGGGTGTACGCGAGTGTGCTCGGGCGTGCAAGAGTGCGCCCAGGTGTGCAAGAGTGTGAATGAGTGTGCCCGTGTGTGCAAGAGTGTGCCCTGGCGTGCAAGAGTGTGCGCGAGTGTGCAAGAGTGTGCCCGGGTGTGCGTGGGTATTGCCGGCTGCGCCCGAGTGTGAGTGTGTGCATGGCTGTGTCCACCTGTGTGTCGCTCTGTGTCCATATGTCTGTCTCCGTGTGTCCGTATGTCTGTTTGTGTCGCTCACACACCCCCAGGTCCGTCTGTCTGCAGAGTGTGGGCTGTGCCCATTCCTGTGGTTGTGCCAGGGTGCTGCACACCCCGCACACCCCTGCCCGTGAACCCCGGGAGTGTCCCGGTCCCTGCAGTGTCACGGGTGGTGCCCCCGTGTGCTCACCCTGGGCTCAGGGATGTCCCCTGTGCTGGGCTCACCCTTTGCACAGGGATGTCCCCTGTGCGCTCACCCTGGGCTCAGGGTTGTCCCCACGGGCTGTGCTCAGCTGCGGTGCAGGATGAGGAGCCATGCAGAGCATCCTCACTGCCATTCCCACAGAAGTGTTTCATCTTGGTGAAGGAAACAGCATCCAATGTTTATTGAGAGAAAATCAATGCCAGAACAGATCACAAACGGAAGCTGCTGCCTGGAAGGACATTATCCCTCTTCCAAAGCACCTGGCATTCAGGGGTTATGACCTCAAGCTGCCTGGGTGAAGGACGGAAGAAATCAGATCAAAATTATTTTGCTTCTGTTTTCTTCTGTTAATGGGTCCAGCTTATTTCATTATAGACTGTACTGCGAGGTCAGGCTCCACAGGCGTTTATTTGCCTTCATCATCTGAACGTGTTTCTGTGAGTGGGCACGAGGTCAGGCAGTTCAGGTGCCCTGTACATGGGTACATAATTCCTGAACCGGCGAAAGCTGTCATCTCCCATTCCCCAGAGCTCTTTCAGCAAGTAAATATCTCTCTGACATGTAAACATTGTAGGACTGGCTTGCAGTGACCAAAGTCTGCTGCTTGAAATGTCCGGATCATGTTAGGGAGCAGTGCACAGCGAGGCTGCGCCCGTGCCAGGGGCGGGAGCGGCGGTGCCGCCGCTCGGCAATGCTCGGACACCGCCCCGGAGCCATCCCGGGCAGGCGGGGAGGAGCTGGGAGACAGCTGCTCCCAGCAACACTGCAGCAGACATGGGAATTCTCCCGAACAGGAAAATCTGCCAAACGGGTCCTCAGGCATCCGCTCTGTTTCCTTCTGGAGAGGCGAGCAGTGAAGGGAGCCCAGCACTCAGGAAGGGGCAGGGGCCGCCTCGAGGTGCTCTGGGTGCCTCGTTTAGGAGGAAAAGCACAGGTCACCCATTTCTGCAGTCTTGCCTAAGTGCATCCTTAGAATATCCTTCAGCTCATGAAATAAAGCACGTTTTTCAAATCTTGAAATGGCCTCTGCCGGTGGTTCGAAAATCCGGGAAGGAAATCGGCAGAGGGAGCCCTTTGGACGGCATCAAAAGTTTCTGCTCCTTCCTCTGCCAGAGCCAGGGAGGAGCTACAGGGCCGAGCACTGACCACATCCCCGAGCAGGGAAATGCCCTGGGCAGGGAAATACCCCGAGCAGAACTCCCGGGAGCGCTGAAAAAACCCCTTGGGGCGGGACCTAGACCTGTGCATCCTGACCCGGATTTTACAAAGCGTTGCCCAAGCAACCTCCATCAGAACGTGAGCCAGCAGCAGCTCCACAGGAATTAATGGCAGCCTCAACCCCCAAAGGTGGCAGACAAGTAAGAGCTGCTGGTGGGGAAACGTTGTACTCCATTAAATGTTTATTTTCAGAGGTGCAAAAAGCTCCCACCACTCAGGAAAGCTGTCTGCAGTGGAAGAGAAGAGAGGACATTAAAAATTTCTCCAAGACAATTAATTAGACTCTTTCCCAAGGATAAAGTTTAATCTAATTTCTGCTGTTACACTTTGTCTTCATAAAAGTCTGAAGAAATTAATGAGCGTTATAGCACCCTCTCATTACAAAAACCTTGGGTTCTCTTGGAAAAAATGAGGGACTAAGCCAAACTGTAGCACCTGCCATTTTTCTCTCAGATCTGCAAAGGTCTCTTTTATTCTTGATGTCCATTCCTCTTTTCCCAGTTTTGTCTTTTAATCTGTTTTTAAAGTTTTGAGCAAGTTTTGAGCAAATTTTGAGCAAGTTTTGAACTTTGGTCCTTTTGCAGTGCAAAGATTAAAATGTGAACTGCAGAGAACGAAACCCCCAGCAAATGGCAAATACAGAGAAAAGGGGTTGTTTTTTTTAAGGTGTTTCATGATCTTTGTACAGCTGATGTTGGCAATGCTGCGCATGCTACAGAAATGAGGGGCCTTCATGGGAAACACTCCCATAGCAATCCACAGGTCCTGAGGCCATTACAAAAATTAGAAAGAGAAAACATTTATTAGGTCTAGGTATAAGATGTAATCCAGATTTATAGCTGATTTTATCTAGTGCTCTAAAGAGCTTGGCTCTGGAGTTTGGCCCATCTTTAGACTTGATCCTTCCCAGGCTGCTTTATGCAAGAAACAAAATAATTTCATTTTCTATGTGTTTTATAGGCTGCTGTGTTCAAACATCATGATGGCTTGCTTCACTGCAATATAAATGTTTCCAAATCTCCTTAACCATGAGAGAGGAAAATGACAACAGGGTGCTTTACCTTCAAAGTGTTGATATATTGAAGCTTTAACTCAGGGCAAAAGCTACAAGTCAGATTCTCAAAGCAGCACTTGCCCCAGGCAACTCACATAGGTTGCAAAAAACTTTCTCATCCCCAGGAACATAAAATCCTTATTGAGCTGTATGACACCCCTAAGTGTGCTTGTATTTTGTGCCTGCTCTCCACCCATTCTTCCTATCTGCTCCTGTGCCTCAGTGAAAAAACTGAGCCAGAGTTTTCTGCCTTTAACAGTTCCACACCACAGCAATGAGGAGCTGCTGAGCCTGTGTAAACACCTGACGTGGCACAGCCAAACTTCAGGAAAGCTCAGCCTCAAAAATGAGACAGCAAAAAACTCCCTGCTCGGCTTTCTGTTCTGCCTGTGCCAATGAGGAAGGAGGGTTCTGCTTCCGAGGCATGAGCAGGCTTTTCACTGGGCTAGAGGAGGAAAGCAGAGCTCATGGGACTGGGCTGAGTCACCGGTGTCTGACCCAATGTCTCTGGAAGGTCCTGCACCTCTCCAGAAGCCTCTGGAAGGAGTGTGTGGGATTGCTGAGTGTGGATGGGGCACTTGGTGCAGCCCAGAGAGCTGTGCATGGTCCCTCCATCCCCACACACTGTCCTGCCAGAGCTGGGGGACACAGGGGCCAAACCCTCCCCTCCCCACCAGGAGTGCCGGGAGACTCAGGATGGAGCAATGATTTGGGGGAAAATTTCCTCTGGAAAATTTCCCCATCAGCCTCTGCTGTGGTTAGCAAGGAAAAGATTGGACATTTCCCCACCTCCACCTCCCCCGCCCCACCTTCTTCCCCCCAAGGCTTTATTGCAAACATAAGAAGTTTGGACAGAAGGAGTATTTCTGCTGGTTGTGCCCTCAGAACAAAAACCTCACCAAATATTTTTAAAACATTTCCCAGCAGAAGTGGGTGTAGAGAGAAAGCAGAGCACTGAAGGAATGCTAATTGCTCCTTTTAAAGCCTCTCCTCTCTAACTTGAATTTTTAAACTCCAACAGCTTTTTTCCCTGTTCCCTTTGCTGTTCCTTTGCTATATCCATCTGTGAAGCTGGCTGCTCAGCACCCCGGGCCAACAAGGCACTTTTTTGGGCAGGGGGTTGCTGTGCTGCTGTGGGGTTCCTAAGGAATCATAAGAAAATATCCACACAGCCACTGCTTCATGCTGAGTATCCCAAAATCCAGATCCACTTACAAACAGAAGGAAAAACTTCTCAAGTGGATGTGGGAACAGAGCACAGCTCCTCACATGGCTTCTCCAGGGGGCTGAGGAACCGGGCAGGGGATGGGGGTAATGGGGAGAGCGAGGTCTGAGCCGGGGAAGGGCTTGCTGGGAGGAAATCCCCGACCTCGAGGAGGAGGAGGAGGAGACTCACTGAGTCACCCCCGTCCCGTGATCGGTGAGGTAAGCCAACAACAGACCGGTGAAAGCCCGTTTGCCTTATTTTTTGTAAAAGTGCATGATGTCACACCCAGAAGGCTGAGCGTGACTCAGCATGTGCCACCAGGAAAATGGATTGAAGTGGACAGAGGAAAACTCACATTTCTGGTTTGACTTTAGTGCATTGCTTGATAAATGCAACAATCAATTAGCCTGGAGACAGAACTGATGTAAAAAGACACAGCAACTTGAGGACAACCCCCGTGCCTCAAACACCCCTCAAACACAGGCAGGGATGGAGAAGGGAATAGGAATTGGAGCTGTCTGGGACAGCCTGGAACCTAAGGAACGGATGTGCTGGAGCTGGGTCTCAACATTCAGTCTCTGGCTTTATAGATGGGATGAAGGTGACCCTCGGGGTCCTCAGAAACAGGACATGAGGCGGGCATGCTGGAGGTGCTGCTTGGTGAGGCACATCCACCACTGGCAGAGTGTCCTGTACTGCATCTCCTGCTTCTCCTGGCGCCACATCAGATTTTATGGAGAAAAATCCAACAATGTCAAGTCATCAGATTTCACTGACGTTTTCAGACATAAGGGTACATACTGCAAACAGGCAAAAG